TTTAATTTATTTAAAAACAGCCACAGTAGCAGGTCTCTTACAATACTCTTCCACAAAAATGCTTGTTACTATGTGGGCAAGAATGACTCCTGCCCACACCAAAAAATAATTCGGCGTTCTTCGCTTTACAAAAACGCACCTTCAGTTGCCAAATTGATGATGATCAGATCGGGTAAAAAACTGCATAAGCTAAAGGAAAAATTTATTAAATGAAATTATGGCCACCTTTCATCAAAGGGCATACTTTAGATGGCAAAAGTCATTGCCAATTAATTGGATACACATTGGCGAGAAGGTTCTGTCGCTACACAAACACCACTGCCGTCTTTGACCTTAGTTTGACCTTGCACATCGACTTACATTTCCTCTTCGGCTCCTTAGGGGTAACCAGCATTCCATATACTTCGCCCACATCTGAGGCAGACCAGTTTGTCTAACAAAGCCTTTGCTTCTTTTGTGACCTTATTTAACTTTACCTGCCTTCTCGTTGCCTATACAGAGATATTCATTTCATTACTAGAACATGGGGCGTATACATGTTAGTCGGCGAAGTTTCTAGGTTACTATTAGAGTTATTGATTTGGTTGGTGTTAGTGTTAGGAGAGGGTGAGAGTTAGAGCTTTGAATCGGTAAGGATTAAGGTTAGCATCATGGTTATTAGCTCATCTGACATAGTCAAGATGCAGCTTGTAGAATCGCATGATCGTGCCGTCCGTCGTCTGAGCGTCGGTCCTGTCAACAGTGGGGCAGCAATCTTAAAGTGATTACGTCACCAAATTTCTACGCACCGGCCATCTAGTAGTATTTGTTCCAGCCCGGGCGGCCGCGGTTTGTTTATTTGTACAAAATAAATGTATGAAAATACAAACCCTTAGCTGTTTCTTGTTTACTTTTCATGCTTATATACTTCTTTAGATGGCGCCTGTAATTTGCCGTACACGTGATGAAAAACAGAGAGACGCCAGTATTGAACCAGTACTTGGGGGAATAGGTGTTAGACAACAGAAATTACCAAATTGTCTAGAGTTTTTCGACAAATTTAACAACGATAAAAACATTTTTATTCAGGTGAGAGTTGCAGGATTATATTTAGTAACGTTAGTTCTTACTTTTAATGAAAAAAATGGCATATTTTTTCTTTTTACCAAATTTTTTACCATTGAAAATTCGTTGAGTAGTCTTACCGCTTGACGTGACGGTCACGATATTCGGGACGTGGGCGGTGGCGGCGGGGTGGGGTAATCCGAAACGAGTTGGACGGATGTCGAAAGCTGTGGGGTCAAAAGGTCAGAGACGGTGTAAAGAAGGGGGGGAACATTCTTTTCCTTAACTTAAGGTATAGGGACGGGAAATGCAGAATTGCTGGCACCGAAATCTAAATGGCTGAGAGCTAGGCTCGTGATTAGTCGGGGTGTAGATGCATCCGGTAATAATTAGAGCCCATTACCATGTGTGCAATGTGAGGGGCTACAGTTGCAGCAGTTGTAATTCGGCATAGGCAAATGTTTTGTTGAGCACAAGCGTTTACCGCTCCTTTAAATCTATATTATTTCGCTAAGCCAGTCTGTCCTATAGCACCCTGAAGGGCTGAATCAGTGAATGCTCGCGCTGTTGGGTAGGCAATAAACACGCGGGCAGCCCCATGGCGTGGCACGCTTCTAATCGACTAATTGTCCTGCTGCCAACCTGCATGCACATGTCTCGTCTGGCAATGCATAGAGATTAGAGTTGGGTTCCGTGCGAAAGGTGTAGGCTGATGAATTTTGTGTCGGAATTGGCTTCGGAAAGTGAAACAAGAACTAAAGAAGGACTTATGCTATTATAGGTACGTCTTGCTATGCAAAAATGAATTTTCCCAGCATCCGTCCTGGATCAGGCAGAACACCCAGACACCCAGATGAGGCGGCCGCGGGTGTGCGCAGCTGCCCGGCCCCGGGCGAGTGTGTTTGTTAGATTAGACTTGGGTCGCAGATTGCAGTTAGTGGATTCCCATACTACAGGTTATTCCCAAGGTGTGGGCAGACCTCAAGACAAGGAGAGAACGGGTCTAGCGGAGAGTGGAAAGGACCGATTGGGTGCAAAGCGAGGGAGGGGAGCACTCCCAAGCCAAAGAAGACCTTCAAAGCGACCGATAAGAAGGGCTCCGCTTATCTTGTTATCTTAACCACCCCATAACAGGGCTCTCTCTGCAATATTTTTAAAGTTTGAGCTAAGACTTGACGAGCCACCCAACGTTATTTTTCAGCCACTAATAAAACACACTATAGCCACCTGTTCACTTTGATCGTATGTGCCTAAGCAAGACATAACAGGTGATGGCGTACGCAAAAAATAGAGAGTGTACGGAAAACACTATTTATCCGACTACGACGAGCTTGCAATTTTGTACGATTTTCGTTTAGTCAGTTTAAATCGTATTTTTCTGGTGTGGAATAACATTTCGCCAATTTTTGTATTTGTCACTTAGTTGTAGTAACATTCGCCAATCTTTATTACTCTTCATTCGCATTTGCGAAGGGTGCGAATGCCGAGCAGTAGCACCTAATTGGTATAGGTTCTATTCGAAGTTTTCTCTGTTGTAGAGCCCTATATAGTAACATTTCATCCTCGACACCACCAGCGTATTGCTAAATCTGGTGACTTCTACCATTGGGCTGTTAGTAGTCGCCGGTCGTCGCGGCCCATCGCGTACGGCCATCACCTTGTTACGTACGGTCGGGCCAGTGACATGGCAGTACTTGCAGGCTGCGCCCGGCTCACATGGTATGATAGTTTATGCTGTTGACACTCTTCCTTTTCGCCAGTCAGGACGCACGACTCGCGTGGTGAGCGACAGAGCTCGAAACCAGGCAGGAACTGAGGCACGCCGTATGCTGTCGCGCGATGGAGGCGCCTTCTGGTCAGAAATGCCACGCGCCGGTGGAAC